CTCTGTGACGCGACGACGACTGACGAGTTGTGCATCTTGACGGCTGGCGGGTTGTGGTGGCACGGCAGCGGCGGTGGCTGGAAGCGGCAGACGGCGTGGCTACGGCTGTGCGCCACTGTGTGTGTGTACATTCGGCGGGCTCTGTGATTGGACGGCGGCTGGCGGGTTGCGAGGTGCGGCGACGGCGGCGGTGGCTGGAGGCGGACGGTGTGGTGACCGGCGTGGAGTGAGTTATTTGGTGTGTGTGTGTGTGTTTTTTGTGTCTGTTAGTGTGTGAAATGTGTGTGAAAGAAAGGGTGTGGGGGAGGGGGATGGTTGAGGGTGACGGGTGGGGCAGGTTTTTCAATTGAAAAACATAAATTAACACAATTTGTATCTATTAATTATTCATATATAAACCACTCATGTAGTCTTCCACTTACCCACGTTCATTTTCTTTCTCATTTTCTTCCTCATTCGCAATGGACGGTTAAAGAAAAGTAGGAACTATTTTTTTTGCTAAATTGTTTTTAGCGCATTTCATATTCTTTCACTTGCAGCAATCACGGTTCAGAAGATGCAGGGAATAAAATGTTGTCGTGTCACACAAACTATTGGATGAAAAGAGGAGTCACTAGATTTGAACTTTTTGCCGCCATATGAAGGGAAGAGTTCTTTCAAGTTTAAGTATTGCTGACAGAGATGCACGCATTCAACCGGATAGGAAAATAGAAAGTGTCTGGACTTGAACTTACCACCAACGCATAAATTACATGAGATGATTTTTTATTTACAGGTATCGATCGATATGATTATATTATATTATATTAGTTTTTTATAATTACATGTGTAATTTAGTATATGTACAATTAATATATTTATAATTGTAATCTATCGTTTATTTTGTCTTTTATAGCACGGAGAGCATTTGAACAGAAAGATTGAGAAGCACGACAGGTTGTGGCTTTACCTGAACTGGCCACCAATTTATGAAGAATTCATATCTGACACTAAGAATAAGAAAAATCTTGTAGGATGTTGTGTGTGGGTAGTCAAATGTTAAAAATATTGTTTCCAAAGCAGTTCAAAAAAAGATTATGACATTGATGTTTAGTTTTTGCTTTTTATGTGATAGAAGGCTCATGTGTATATGTAAATTAAGTTCAATAATGAATAACACTTTGTTTTGCTATTATGTTGTTGATCTTAATTCGTTCTGTTATTTTCCTTTTATTTTGTATATATAGTAAATATAAGTAAAATATTATGTATTATAAGTTGCAACCATTAAGACATAAAATCAACGTATTGAATTTCAGATTTGTTGAATGACAATAAAAATAATCAAGAAATAATATTTCAATACAATTTTGGTATATAATTTATAATATGAGTAACGATTTTTTTTGTTAATGATATGGTTGCTAATATATACATGTTTTGTTATGTGGAATTAAACAATGATGGTTATGATAGTTATGTTGTAAGTAAACTGTAAATGAGCTGAGTTTTTATTAACTTCAAGTCAGTTTTTTTATTTACAAGAAGTCGGTTTTTTGTATGACCGAGGTATTTAATGCCTGAATTTTTTCTGACGGAACAATATCCTCGTATTGTAATAAATATTGCTATTTATAGTAATTCTTGGCTCGTCTTTTGAGACGGATTCGGTGACATTTAATGTGAGCTGCCTGCATAGGGTCGGCTACCCTGCAAGTAGGCTCGCGAGCAATTATTAGGGCATGTGCGGACGGCGGCTGATTGACAGGCGTCTCTTCTTTGTTGGATCGACCTCGGTTCTTCACTGATGTTGGTCAGTAGTCTGTCGAATGAAGTCGGTCCTCTCATCATTTCATATCGAGATGCTCGAAATCGAGTTGCTTTTCCCATTTTCGTCCTTTTTACTTTTGAACTCTACTTGACTTTACACGTGGCATTTTCTAACTGGACGATTCAGGTCGGACATCAACAATACACATTAGGAACGAAATGATCCATCACAAAAATTGTAGCTAATGAAATAAATTAGTAACGGATATTTCCATTTTTGATTCGATTGCTGCTAGTGAATAATAGGAACAAATATATCGGTTAAAAATTTGGTTGCTATTACTCTACTATTAGAAACCATTTTGTTTGTTGCAAAAATCGTTGCAAATAGCAACAAACTGTTTTCTGTTTCTGAGCATTAGCCACCCTTTTTTCACTAACCAATTATGAAATGGAATTTATTTGTTTATGTTGTATATTAGTAACAGAAAATGAACTTTAAGCAACAATAAATTCCGTTTCTGAATCTCTAATTTCTAGTATCGTCGCGCCCTTCCGCAGTGCAGAACTAGACGTCGCGCCCACGTCAACACCTAGCGCGCAGCTGCACGTTAAGAGCTCATACGCGCTCGTCCAAACTCATAATCAAGTTCTCTTTTTTCCTACTCATCCCCAGCGAGCCCTTCTACAGTTCTAGCATACATAAAGCATGATTATGGCTCGTTTAGTTTATCCAAACATTTGTCAAAGACAAAATATTTGTGAACTCTACAACCTTTGAGATACTTAAACTCAATTATTCCACATATAACACTCAGAATTAATTTTTCATTCGCCTTAAAATGATTTTTTGAGAATTTTCTAAGTCTTTCTAAGTCTTTTGCTTACGAAAAGTGGAATTGTAAAATCAGTACAAAAGCAATTTTTTTTTACAAGATGTGTTAGATTCTAAAGAAACTTTTGGAGTAATTGTTCTTGGAGATGATTTTAGACAATTTTTACCAGTAGTACGTATAGGTAATAGAATCAAATAATAGAAGCTTCCTTAGCTAAATCACGTTTGTGGCTTTTTCCTAGAAAAACTTGAACTCACTGAAAATCTGCGTGGACGTGTGGATGTACATTTTACGTAAAACTATGCTAAGAATTGATAAAGGTATTAAGCCAGACGATGATAATGATTATTTATTCAGATGTCAACTTCTTTAATCCTTGATGATAACAATAATTAAATCATAATGGTAATGTTATTTATCCTAATATTGCTGCCAAGCATCCTATGCATCAAGTAAAACTATTTTGTCAGCAAAAATAAAATTTATTGATGAGGTTAAACAATTTACTTATTGATAGATTTTTGGAGGATTGCTTGAATACATTGAGCTTTGATGACGCGAAAAATCCTTCCCACAAACAGCAGTACGAGGATTTAACAAATTCATTCACTCCAAATGATATTCATGCTCATAAATTCCTTTGAAAAAATATGCACCAATCGTTCTGCTATGTTATTTGGATCCAACTGAGGGTTTGTGCAATGTAACAAGGCTAATTTGTTAGAACCTCATTAGATGACTAATTTTCTCATGCTAATTATATGTCTCTATTTCACAGGCAAGAACCACATAGATGTGAAGTTATTGATAATTATTAAATACTAGTATAATACACGGGAAGTTATTGATAATTATTAAATACTAGTATAATACCCGTGTATTACACGTGTGCTTGTTAAGAAATTTATATTTAAAATTAAAATTAAAAAAAAAGTTTTAGTTTTCAAATATTTTAAAAAAAAACTATATTTTGATTTGTACTTAAAATCACATCTGTCACTTATATGACTTAGCATCTTATATTATGATAATTTTTTTTTAACTTATACCATATAACTAATTTGTAGTTAAATTAATTTAAATAATTTTATTCAATTAATATTAATATATAATTTAATTTTCATTATAAAAATATTTATTTTATGTAGCAAAACATGATTAATTTGATATATTATATATGAAATTTCGATAATAAATAAAAAAGTTATTAGCTTTTAAATATATTTACAATTTATATTAGTAACTTTTTTTATAATTATAAAATAAATATAAAGAAAAAATATTGGAAAAAAATATTATGCCTTATAAACCACGTCTAGAATAGGAAAAAATATTAGTACATAATAAATGCTCTTAAAAGTCTTCATAAATATCTAGTGTATATAGATATTCCAAGCCTAATTATTTTTGGATTGGAAATAAATTAAATCCATCCAAACCAAATGCAAAGAATGAAAAATTGTCATATAAAATTCTGAAGCGTAAGAATCTGTCACTTAAAGCTCAGGGCATTCTGAATTATATGTAGGAGGGATATCCTGTTTTGATCAAAGGAACAATGGACGCACACAATGTTTTTGTTTATTGACATTGAAAGCAAAAAAGAAANATTAGAGCACCTCTCAAATTATGAAAACCTCGGGATACTTGGATACAAGAATTTTTAGTTTAATTTGGTTAATTTTGAAAAATATGGTATAATTAGTCGATAGTGAGTATATTAAAATAATATTTAAAATAAAATAATTAAAATTAATTTAATATAAAAGTAAGAGAGATGATGTGTAATGATAATCAGATAGAATTATGTAATTAGATAAGTAGTGAATTAAACTTGGTGTTATGTGTAACAATTGATACTATTTAATTATATTAATAATGTTGAAAATAATGAGACTAAGTTAAAAAAATAATTAAGTTAAAAATATATAGATATTTTTAGATATCTTGTATCCAACTAACACCTCAAAAACTTCCACATGAGTAAGAGGAAGAGTTGTAATTTTTTGGAAAGCTACCTTTTGTGTGAGTGTAGAAGAAGAAATCTGTCACGACATTTGATTCTTAATATCTTATACATCTATCATGTTTACTTTTGTTAAATGTTAAATATCAAAATAAAGTGCGTCCAAATTTATTATTTTTGTCATTTCATAAAAAAAAGATATAAAAAAATAGATATCTTCATTTTAAAGTTAGTATCGAAAAAACTGTTAAAAAAGAAAAACGACCATTATTCTATTAAGGGAAAATGCTACAATCCCGTTACGGAACCATTCCGTTGGGATTGTAACCGTTAGATCATCAAGTAACCGTCAATGATAATTGATCTAACAATACAAATCCCAACGGAATGGTTCCGTAACGGGATGTTAACATAGAAAAATTATAATATTTTTTGCAAAATTCCCTACCACTAAATCGAGAGTTGGAACTTTCGGTAAAAAGAGGAAGAGAAGGGACGAGGAAACTGGCACGGCACATGGCGAGCTCTCTTTCTCTCTCTCTCCTCTTTGCTCCAGTCCACTAATAAAAAGGGTAAACAAATTACACACACAAACTAACCCATAACCGCCCTCCTCCTCAGCCGTCGCCGCCGGAGACACTCACTATTTTAGTACATCCCTTTTTATTTCCTGTCCTCTATCCCTCTCCATATATCCGCCCCCCAAATTCCCCCCCTTCGTTATGGACATTCGCCGGAGGCCTCCCAAGCCATCATCCTTGCGCACGCCGCCGCCCTTGTTCCCTCACCCGCCGCCTTCTCCTCCTCCGGCCTCCGGCGCTGCCTCGTCCGTACACTCGCCGAAAGCCTCCGACGCCCTGCCCCTCCCCCTGTACCTAACCAACGGCGTCTTCTTCACGCTCTTCTTCTCCGTCGCCTACTTCCTCCTCCACCGTTGGCGCGAGAAGATCCGGGCATCCGTGCCCCTCCACGTCCTCACCCTCTCCGAGCTCGCCGCCATTATCACCCTAATTGCCTCCTTCATCTACCTCCTAGGGTTCTTCGGGATCGATTTCGTCCAGTCCTTCGTCTCCAGATCTGAGGGCGAAGACGAGACCCATCCGCGATTTGAAGTCCACGAGGACCGTTACATCCACTGCGCGATGCCGACCTCAGCCGCCGCCAAGCCCACGCACATGGATCTCCCGAAGGACGACGAGGACCTCGTCAATCTGGTCGTCTCCGGCGAGGTCCCTTCATATTCTCTCGAATCAAGGCTTGGGGACTGCTTCAAGGCGGCCCGCATCCGGCGGGAGGCGGTGCAGAGGCTGACGGGGATGTCCATGGAGGGGTTGCCTCTGGAAGGGTTTGATTACGAGTCGATTTTGGGGCAGTGCTGTGAGATGCCAGTGGGCTACGTGCAGATCCCGGTGGGGATTGCAGGCCCGCTGCTGCTGAACGGGTGTGAGTACTCGGTGCCCATGGCCACCACGGAAGGGTGCCTGGTGGCTAGCACGAACAGGGGCTGCAAGGCAATCTATGCCTCTGGTGGGGCCACGTGTGTGCTTTTGCGAGATGGGATGACACGAGCTCCTGTGGTGAGGTTCTCCTCGGCCAAGAGAGCAGCAGAATTGAAGTTCTTCTTGGAGGATCCTCTGAATTTCGACACCTTGTCGGTTGTTTTCAACAAGTAAGATTCTTCTCTTTGATGAAGCTTCTTAATTTATGTTTTGCATGAGTGTGGTGGTTGGTCTTTTTCGGTTTGTGGATTTGTTTTGGTATCTTTGTCTATTATGTAATGGTTGGAGGAGTGCTGAAGCTGATTGTGCTATTGGATTGGTATATTGTGATGCTTGATTACTTGCATGTTTTGTATGGAAGGATCTGTCTGGTTATTCTCACTGTAAAGGTGGATTTGAGAACAATGTACTTCTCCATCATATGATGAATTTCCTTGTTGGTAGTCATATTATGTGTCTCATTGATATGCATTCAGTTTATGTGCTGTGTTCCTGTGGACACTATGTATGTAACAAGAAATTCATCGATATTTGCATTCTCTATTAACATTGAGTTAATGAGGAGAAACTTAACGGATCGATGATTTGAGTCGAATGGTAACCGCTATACGTACTACTTCAAATTATTATTTTTATTTGCTATAGAGCAAATAAATTCTGAACTTTTTGGTTTTAAGAACAAATAGCATCTCCTAAAAATTCTTTGAGTTTGACAGGTGGTACTAAACTACCAACTATATTTGTTTATTAGTCTCTACTCTCAACCGGTTGTTGTATTCTACATCAGATTTCGGAACTTCTTCCGTCTACAACCTTGTATGTGTTTCAATCTTAAAATATTTCCACAGGTCAAGTAGATTTGCAAGACTGCAAAGTGTTCAATGTGCAGTTGCAGGCAAGAACCTATACATCAGATTCAGTTGCGGCACAGGTGATGCCATGGGCATGAACATGGTTTCCAAAGGTGTCCAAAATGTTTTAGATTTCCTCCAGAACGATTTCCCTGATATGGATGTAATCGGCATTTCAGGTCAGCACAACAACTACCTTCGTTAACCTCTTACCTCTTAAACCAAAATCCATTCCGTTCGCCATATAATCCTTCTACTTTGTCTTTTTACTTGCGTGATTTTGTGCAGGGAATTTCTGTTCAGACAAAAAACCAGCTGCCGTCAACTGGATTGAGGGCCGTGGAAAGTCTGTCGTGTGCGAAGCCATTATATCTGGTGATGTCGTCACTAAGGTTTTGAAAACCACTGTTCCAGCTCTCGTTGAGCTTAACATGCTCAAGAACCTTACGGGGTCTGCCATAGCCGGGGCCCTTGGTGGATTCAATGCGCATGCAGCCAACATAGTCTCTGCAATTTTCATAGCCACAGGGCAAGATCCAGCTCAAAACATTGAAAGCTCTCACTGTATAACCATGATGGAGGCTGTCAATGGCGGCAAGGACCTTCACGTCTCTGTCACCATGCCTTCCATTGAGGTATCGAAAATAAAATAAATATACAAAATAAAAAAAAATAAAAACTTGTAATTTGTATAAATAGAAAGAAGTGTCATTTTTAAGTAATTGAAATCTTGCAGAAGTTCCACTTTTGTCTATTACGATAAAAAAAAAAAAGTGACGAAGAACAATTATGGCCAAAAGGGGCAATTTTTTGAAATGAGAAAGTGAAAAGGTGCCATATTTGCAAATTTCATTTTAAGTAGGGTAAATATTTTTTTTTCCAACATGTACTATACGTGTTTTTGGGATTTTCAACCTAAAGTATTTTATTTATTTATTTATTTTTTTGTAAAATGCAACCTGAACTACATATACAACCACTATTTGCACGCTCGACCACATCTTCACCATACATGTGTCCTTTTTGCAGATGATCGGATGGTCAAAAAGTAGTCGAGCGTGCAAATAATTGTATATATGTAGTTCAGGTTGCATTTTTACCAAAAAAAAAATACTTAAAGTTGAAAACCCCAAAAGTAAGTATAATACAGGTTAGAAAAAACTATTTACCTTAGTAATATTGAAAGCTTGACTATTTTTTTATTTTTATTTTTCTCTAAAATAATTGGCACCCATAATTATTAAGTTAAGGGCATGCAATATTTTGTGTTGGAATAATTACTTTGTGCATGGAGTCATATTCTGAAAGCCAGATATTGTGACGTAACAGGTTGGCACAGTTGGAGGTGGTACCCAGTTGGCATCACAATCTGCTTGCCTAAATCTGCTCGGTGTAAAAGGTGCAAACAAAGAGTCACCAGGTTCAAACTCACAGCTCCTGGCTACCATTGTTGCCGGGTCAGTATTGGCTGGCGAGCTCTCTCTTATGTCAGCCATTGCAGCCGGTCAGCTTGTCAAGAGCCACATGAAGTACAACCGCTCGAGCAGGGACATCACAAAAATCGGCTCCTAAATTAGAAATGGGGCCGTGCATGTGAAAGTTTGTAGAAATGGGGCAAAACTTAATCTGAATTCAGCTTTCCCCATCTAGGGCTGGAGTGTTTTGTACCTGCAGTTTTTATTTTTATGGTAATTTTTTTTAGGTGATGAAGGTTTTGTCGTTAGGGGTTATGGTGGTGAAGGTTATTGTGTGTGCAAAGGTTTGTTTAAATTGTTGGTAATTGTGGAGTGTGTTCTCACTTGGTTGATTTATGTACAGGATAAGAAATTTCTTCAGTTGGTTGCATGTACGGTTGTTGTTCAGTTTCTGGATGAATTTGAAGTTTGGTTATAGGCTTGCTCAGATTTTGATTTTGAATTACGCTGTATGTATTATGGAGTACGTGTATTCTGTAAGAAGTTGGAATTATCTCAGAAACTTTGATGATAGTTAAAGCAAAATAAGGTTTTGCTCACCATTTTTTGGGTTAAATCCATGTCACGAATTCTGCTGAAGTTGTTAGTTAGAACAAATTACCCCCTACACGAGCAACATTTCTTTAAAGTGCAAAAACATAATAGAAGTTTTTTTTGTTCCACATTAACGGTAATACGAAATTATCAATTTTCATATTCTACAAATATAATTAGTTACTTTCGTATGGACATTAATTGAATAAATATATGTGTAAATATAAATAAAAAAGGGAAGAAAGAGATTTATAGGGATCTAATTCTCAACCAAGATCTTCCTTCATCAATGTCTCAATTCCCAAAAAAGAAAAAAAAAAGCAGCCTCCTTTTTATTTTTCACTGACTCTTCGTCTTCACCACTATTTGAATAAAACAGACTCTAATATCCTCTCAAAATGGCAAAAATTAAAGAACAAGACTATGTTTCTGATACATCATTCGAAGAGAGACCAAATATGAAGCCGAATCGAAGAAAAAACGATGGTCATAAAGTTCAATCATGGAAGGATGAAGCAGCAAAAGACTCCGAGAGAGACAATGAATCACCCGGTCAATTGTCGGCCGCAACATTTTACTGTCTCCTCCCAATTAATAACCATCTTTT